CAGAGAACCATCCAGTGCGTAAATGTCTACGCTTCCTCCAAATGACGATAGAAGATCGTACTTCATACATTGAGAAAAAGCAGTTGTGCTTAAATTGCTTTGCAAGCGGTCATCCACTCCGTAATTGCACAAGCGCCCACAGCTGTCTTACTTGTCACGGTCGGCATCACACATTGTTGCATCCAAGCAACACTTCATCCAGTGTTCCGAATCCTCGTGATGACGCACCACAAATTCCTGCACCCATCCAAAGAATTTCCTCGTTCTCCACACGAGTGACCACTTCTGCCGATTCCAATTACTGGGTTCCGTACGACGACAGCAAGAGCAGACGTTCCCGAGGTATTTTATCCTACCAATGCCGAGTCTGCCAAGGGAACCATCCTCTTCGGAAGTGCCACCGTTTTCTCCGGCTTGATGCGAAGAAACGGCTCCAGACAGTCATCGACAGGAAGTACTGCGTCAACTGCCTGGCCCACCACCATTCCGGAGGATCCTGTCGAAGTAGCGACCGATGCCAGTCGTGTGGACAGGATCACCACACCCTTCTACATGCCGACGAACGCTCAGCGTTATCCTACGCTTTCCAGAGCTAATACTTCCTGGTACTTTTGCTGCGTATCCTCGCAAGGGGGGGGAGAATGTTCACGCCAGAAAGGCGCTTAATTTCGGGAGGCAGTGTGATCCCGAACGCTCTCCTTTTCTCTCCCTCTTCCTCCGGACTTCCAGTCCAAAGAGCTTCCAATCCGCTCTCCCTAGCTTTAATTTCTTTGTATTGTGTTAGTACCAATTTACTTCTGATCAAATAAAGACATCGACGCCCGTCGCGTAACACCCCGATAAGTCTCCGTGTTCTTATTTCGAGTGCATTTCAGCTTAAAGCCGCCCCCCTCCAACAAAGATATTTAAATCTAAAATATAGTTTTTATACGATTGAACGTTTTTTTTTTTAAATTTTATCACACCCAACTTATTATATATTATGTATAACAAGAAAGGAAGCTAACTTCGGCACGCCGAAGTTTGTATACCCTTGCAGATTGGTTTTGATGTTTATATTATAGATTTAAATGCTGAAAACACACACAAAACAGAGTTTCATTACATTTTACCTATACTTATTATGTTTACAGTTTGACAGTTACAGTTTTACATTCCCAGCTTTACATTTTCTCTACATTTACCGATCGTTTATATGGCAGCTATATGATATAGTTGTCCGATTTTCAAAAATTTTTACCAAAATTCTGAAATAATAAAAAAAGCTTATATCTAAAAGTAGATAAGAATATGTTGAAAAACAACGAAGTTATAATTTTTTTTTCTATTCATTTGCCGATCGTTCCTATGGCAGCTATAAGATATAGTCGTCCGATTTTCATAAAATTTTTACCAAAATTCTGAAATAATATAAAATGGCTATGTCTCAAAAATTATGCAAAAATATTGAAAAACAGCCAAGTTATAATTTTTTTTTCTAAAAATTTATCGAACATTTGTATGGGAGCTATATAATATAGTCGTCCGATCCGGCCCGTTCCGACATATATAGCAGTGAGAGTATATAGAACACTATATGCAAAGTTTCATTCAGATAGCTTTAAAACTGAGGGACTAGTTTGCGTAGAAACGGACAGACGGACGGACGGACAGACTTCTGACTGAAATTATAATACCCTGAAAGGGTATAAAAATAAAAGTTGTATTTTTAAGAAGTTTGCAACGCAGTGAAGGAGACGTTTCCGACCCGAAAACTGAGTACATTATTTCATAGAAACGCTTAACAATGTCTGAGGGATCCTCTGTGGAGTTCAAGAAAGTCCAATCCGTTAAGGATAAGTGGTGGTTCATTTCTGTAAACTTAGCTTTTCGAAAGCAACGAAACGTTGCAGGCTCAGCTTCCGGACACAATAATAATGGTGTGGAGGCTTCGAGGGTTAGCTCCAAAGTGGGATGATACGCGTCCTCAGGACTAGAAAGAGGGTAAATTCTAGTGACGTAGGCATTGGCAAACTAAGAGACAAAGATGAGGTCTAAGACGTTATTACTGCAGTTCCTAACAAAATTTAATTGTCCCAATGAATGGTCAATGAGACCATGAATTAAATCGTGGGGTGAGGTGGGAACAAGAACATTTGAATCAGGTAAGGGCATCCAGGAAATGGAGGGTAGATTAAAATCACCCGTGACGATAAGGTGGTCATTAATACCAAGGGAAGAATGAATTTCTTGAATTAAGGATAAATGCTGCATATAAATATCAGTGTCAGACCTAGGTGGAATATACGAGCATGAAACGTAGATAGAATAATCGTAAACCTGGATGCGAACCGCCACAAACTCTATATCAGTGTCAGTTTTAGAAATGATATTGGAAACCAGATCGGATTTAACCGCAATGAGAACACTACCGCCTGTCCGTATAGGACGATCACATCTAAAGATGGCATAGTTCCCTGAAAAAATCTCAGAGTCAGACACAGAGGAGTTGAGCCATGTTTCTGTAAAGACAATAACATTGGCATCGAAAGAGACACTATTGACGTGCAGCCTACTGAGCTTGCCAAGTAAACTACGAACATTCTGATAGTGAAGAACAAAAGAGTCTATTAGTTTTTTGGAGGCCTAGTTGAGGGAGTTTGAGGCCCGCGAGCACGAGGAGTACTTTTGTGTTCGAATTCATGAACAATTGCATGCTTAGGCCACACAGAAGGATCAAGAGCCTTAGAAAATAGTTGAAAATTTTTAGAAAAAAAAATTATAACTTTGCTGTTTTTCAACATTTTTGTACCATTTTTTAGATATGTCCATTTCATATTATTTCCGAATTTCGGTAAGAATTTTATGAAAATCGGAAGACTATATGATATAGCTGCCATAGGAACGATCGGGAAATTAATAGGAATAAAATTATAGCTTCGTTGTTTTTCAACGTATTTATATTTACTCTGAGATATAAGCTTTTTTTTATTATTCTAGAATTTTGGTATAAATTTCATAAAAATCGGACAACTATATCTTATAGCTGCCAAATAAGCGATCGGTAAATGTATAAAATATATTAAGCTGGGAATGTAAAACTGTAACTGTCAAACTGTAAACATAATAAGTATAAGTAAAATGTAATGAAACTCTGTTTTGTGAGTGTTTTCAGCGTTTAAATCTATAATATAAACATCAAAACCAATCTGCAAGGGTATACAAACTTCGGTGTGCCGAAGTTAACTTCCTTTCTTGTTTTAATTTTATTTTTATACCCTTGCAGGGTATTATAATTTCAGTCAGAAGTTTGCAACGCTGTGAAGGAGACCTTTCCGACCCTATAAAGTATATATATTCTTGATCAGCATCAACAGCCGAGTCGATCTAGCCATGTCCGTCTGTCCGTTTGACTGTCTGTCTGTTTCTACGCAAACTAGTCCCTCAGTTTTAAAGCTATCTGAATGAAACTTTGCATATAGTCTTCTATATACTCTCACTGCTATATATGTCGGAATGGGCCGAATCGGACGACTATATCAATTAGCTGCCATACAAATGTTCGATAAATTTTTAGAAAAATAATTATAACTTTGCTGTTTTTCAACATTTTTGTACCATTTTTTAGATATGTCCATTTCATATTATTTCAGAATTTTGGTAAAAATTTTATGAAAATCAGACGACTATATGATATAGCTGCCATAGGAACGATCGGGAAATTAATAGAAATTAAATTATAGCTTCGTTGTTTTTCAACGCATTTTTATTTACTCTGAGATATAAGCTTTTTCTATTATTCTAGAATTTTGGTATAAATTTCATAAAAATCGGACAACTATATCTTATAGCTGCCATAGAAGCGATCGGTAAATGTATAAAATATATAAATCTGGGAATGTAAAACTGTAACTGTCAAACTGTAAACATAATAAGTATAGGTAAAATGTAATGAAACTCTGTTTTGTGAGTGTTTTCAGCATTTAAGGGGGGGGTAAGGTTAATTCGGTGCAAAAAAGGGCACTTTTTAAAAAATTATTGTGGCGGAACGGCTAAAGTTAGCTTAGTTATTAAATACCATATAATAACACAACATTTAAATAATTTTTGATAAATTTTGTATTGAAAAATATTTAGAGGTAGAGAAGTTATAGGGAATCTCCCGAGTCGCCTCCAAAAAAAGTTGTTTTGCGGTGTACATCCTAACAGTCCACAGGATCATCCGATCTACAAAAATTATACCTCATTCGTTAAAGGATAAGTGTCCCGAGGTATTCACGAAGCGTTTTTATTTTTAAAATTTTTTCCCTATTTTTTATCAAAATTTGAAGTCAAAACCCCGATTTTTGACTAAAAAAAGTTATTTCTTAATTTAAAAATATATAAAAATTAAAAATTAAAAAAAGGCCGACGTGAATACCTGAGGAATTAGTTAAAGAATGTGTGTGCCAAATTTCAAATCGATCGGTCCAGTAGTTTTTCTGTAATCGTGTACACCGATTTGAAAAATTGAATTTTTCAGGAGAGCGCTTTAAACTTTGTGATTCTCATGCATTTAACACCTACCGACCTTCGTTCAACTCTGCATAACTTCGTCAATTTTCCTATGATCGATGTAAAACTTGGACACAATATTCTTAAGATATTGGGCCTTAAAAATAAAAAATAAAAAAAAAATTACGAAAAAAAAAATTAAATACCTTACCCCCCCCCTTAAATCTATAATATAAACATCAAAACCAATCTGCAAGGGTATACAAACTTCGGCGTGCCGAAGTTAGCTTCCTTTCTTGTTTTCTATTAATTTAACCAGGATGCCGAAGTTAGCTTCTTTTCTTGGTCTCTATATTTCTTTGTATTTGTCTTTAAATGAATAAAATAAGGGTTGAACGTTTAAATGAATGAATGAAAACCAGGAACGTAATTGTATATTTGATACGAAGTCATCCCCACTTTGGAAGTCTTGGTTACTAAAAAATTCCCTAGCAACCACAGGTGTTATTATTATTGTTGTCAAACATTTCTGACATATGCCTTTTAACATTGTATTAAAGCAAGTATTCCTTTAATAAACTTATCAAGACAAAACACTTTAAAAATATTAATACAATGACTGAGAATGAGGATATTGGTTCGAACGTTTAAATGAATGAATGAAAACCAGGAACGTAATTGTATATTTGATACGAAGTCATCCCCACTTTGGAAGTCTTGGTTACTAAAAAATTCCCTAGCAACCACAGGTGTTATTATTATTGTTGTCAAACATTTCTGACATATGCCTTTTAACATTGTATTAAAGCAAGTATTCCTTTAATAAACTTATCAAGACAAAACACTTTAAAAATATTAATACAATGACTGAGAATGAGGATATTGGTTCGTGCGATTTTGCAAATGTGTTGGAGGTTGATACTGAGTTTGCTCCAGAACCAGATCAATTGGCCCTTCTTCCTCCTAATCATCCGCTTCTGCACAAGTTTCAAATCTCACTAAAGGATCATCTATTACGTACTAAACATGAGCTTGAAAATGAAATCGCAGAAATTAAATATCAAGAAAAACTAAAACAGCAACGACGAGAAGAGGAAGGTCTGGCATTGTATGATATGCAACAAAAAATGAGTATTCAAGAGGAACAAATAAGGGAAATATCAGTAATAATAGAGAAGCACTTGCTAAATCGCCAAGACGAAGAATTTTGTGTTAACTCTTTAAAAAGAGAATATGAAGAGAAGGTTAAGCTTACAAAAATTAAAAAAACATTATATCATGACCAAATGGTGAAACTCGAAGACTTGCAAAGTCTGAGTAGTAATATTAAAAAATGGGCATGTGACGTAGAAGATGAAGTTAAAAATGCTAAACGTATTGTTAGCAGGGATGCGCAGCTGCAAAAGCAACTGTCTCGGGAAAAACGAAAATCGGATATACTTTTTTACCGTCTAGATATGGAAGTTAAAAAAACAGAAGCAGAATTGAGCTCAATTTATGAAGAAGAAATAAATATGAAAGATGTTGTGAATATTTTAAATATGAGCATATCGGACGCTAATACAGATCTGGAAGTATTGCAAAGTGAACATAAGCGCCTCACACAAGCATGGAGTGAAGTTATTATAGCAATCCAGTTGAGGGACAACATTTTGTTTCAAGTTCAAGAAACAATGAGGTGAGCATTTTTAATTAATATTTTACTTAAAACCAGCGTTTGAAAAGCTACGCTACTCCCGTAGTATTTCGTTTTGCTATTGCTACCGCTCTCACTTTGACAAGAGCTGTAGCAGAGCCATAGCACGTCGAAGCCTATGCTCTGCTCTGCTCGTAGTTTTGTTGCTTCAAAAACTACAGCTATAGCTATAGAAAAAAATAAAAAGCAGTGCTCTGCGTAGCCGTAGCGGTAACAAAAAATTGAGAGCGAGATGGGAGCAGAGCAAAAGGAATTTCGTCATATCCTGAAAGCCACACAAAGCGATTTACCGATCCAAATAAGAAGTTGCTTTGAAAAATAAATTGGTTGAGGAGAATTGGGAACAGAAGTGGAAAAGAGTTTTTTTTAGGTTTAGTAGTTGTTGGGGCTGGTGCATAAGTTTTCAAGAAGATCAAAAAGGCTATGTTCAAAAGAGTTTCGATAAACAAAGCCAACTACATATATTTGGTAAATAAAATGCTAATCACTTGGCCTTTTAAATTTATCTACAAACAAGAAAGGAAGCTAACTTCGGCACACCGAAGTTTGTATACCCTTGCAGATTGGTTTTGATGTTTATATTATAGATTTAAATGCTGAAAACACACACAAAACAGAGTTTGATAACATTTTACCTATTTTTATTATGTTTAAAGTTTGGCTGTTACAGTTTTACATTCCCAGCTTTATATTTTCTATCTATCGATCGTTTCTACAGCAGCTATATGATATAGTTGTCCGATTTTTATAAAATTTATACCAAAATTCTGAAATAATAAGATAAGCCTATATCTCCGAGTAGATGAAAATACGTTGAAAAACACCGAAGTTATAATTTTTTTCTATTAATTTTCCGATCGTTCGTATGGCAGCTATAAGATATAGTCGTCCGATTTTCATCAAATTAAAATCAAAAATCTGAAATAATATAAAATGGCCATATCTCAAAAATGATGCAAAAATGTTGAAAAACAGCAGTTATAAATTTTTTTCTAAAAATGTATCGAACATTTGGATGGCAGCTATATGATATAGTCGTCCGATCCGGCCCGTTCCGACATATATAGCAGTGAGAGTATATAGAAGACAGACGGACAGACGGACTTGGCTAGATCGACTCAACTGTTGATGCTGATCAAGAATATATACACTTTATAGGGTCGGAAAGGTCTCCTTCACTGCGTTGCAAACTTCTTACTGAAATCATAATACCCTACAAGGGTATAAAAATAAAAGTTTTTTTTTAACCCTTGCAAGGTTTTAGTATTAAGTCAACTGCTGGAGCAGGGATCGCAAATATGAGTTATGAGTAAAATAAAAGTTATGAAAAAATTGAGCTGGAAAGATAAATATTTAGGTAATAAAATAAACTTTTATACCAAATTTTTATTTTTTAATTGCGCTTTAACTCCTATTTTTAAATTGTAATAAAAAAAGTTTTAGAATAATTATTATTTTTCAATTTTTATATAAAAGTGGGGTATAACAGTTATTTTCAATTTTTAAAATAATAATTGAAAATTAAAATTATTCTCCAATTTTTATTTAACAAAATTAAAAATAACAGTACCTGACAATAAAATTGCCAATTTTTATTTTAAAAATTGAAAATACAAATTTAATCGCAATAACTTTTCAACGGAGCGGTATATCTTAAAGATTGACATAAAATTAATCTACGCTTTAATACCTTTCGTTTGATGTATATATTGTGGGTATTACATATGCATAAAAATATGCGTATACGTAATGCTTATTACATTCCCCAAACAAACAAGGATAATAAGTGTCTTCTAGCCAACATTTTTTGGGTTGGCTTCTTTATTAAGATCCTGCGGAGTCGACGGTCCAGGTAAATTGCCGAAACCATAACTTCATTAGAAATTAATGCTTTCTCGCGACATTCTATGCACTTCCCCATATCTTATGCACATTATCTCACATAGCTTATATTGTGAGTTTTGTTTCCAGCCATAGCTTGTAAAAGTCGACAAAAAAGCTGTTCCTTTTGAAGCTTTGGCGTAGCTTCATAAAGAGACTTCAGCACACACAGAAGCAGCTCTATATCTTCCCATTCCGATTCAGGCAACGTGGAACTTGATGTGAAGTGTTCATTCATAAAGAATTTAAAGCTGCAAAGACTCTTTAGCATGGCATAGGTAGAGTTCCATCTTGTTGGAACATCGACTACCGGCTGGGGAAGACCGGCTTTACAAATGGCAAGCCTTAATTGCATATAACAAAAATATAGGGTAAAGTGGGGTAAAGCCGACCTTGTAAATGGTTTTGGCTATAAAATGCTTATTTTACATCGGATGAAGTCGTTATATATACCAAATTAAAGGTTCGACTTTTGCGCAACTTTCTATGCATAGCATTTTATTCATACCTTTGAAAATTTTTGAGATACAAGCGTTTTACGAAAAAGTTCATTTTTGCTATGTTCAAAAACCGCCTATGTTTTTGGTTGATTTAGTACAGATATAACCTAAATATAGGTTTTGCAATGATAAATCAATTAATGTTATGTTATATAATGGTAATAAAAGATAATAGAATTAAAAAAATGAAAATAGCAAAATAATTAATCAGTATCATCTGATTCGCTGCTCAAATAGCTTGCTGGCGTTTTTTGGTTCGAGTTGAACGTCTGGTTGGTTGCGATGTTGATGGTTTTGGTGTGATTGTTCTTTTTTTGACTTTTTTGTGGCAGGATTTACCTCACTATTTGGAGGTCCGATTTGCCCCACCACGTAATTTTTCATAAAAACGCAATTAAAAAAGAAATTATAAAAAAAAAAATGAACCAAACTTATATGCACTTTGTAGGACTTTATTCAAAGAATCTAAATCCACTTACCTTTTCATGCGATAACTTTGACAAAAAGAAATATCCTGCAGTTAATTATGCACAAAAATTAAAGTCAAAATTGTGAAAACAAACTTGTTGTCGTTTGACCATCTCAATGTTGACTAATAAAATGCTGTCATACCACCATTTTCATTGTTTTCGATGCTCTACACGACAACACTAATATTAGTTTGCGTAGTGCTTCCGATTTTCGAAAACAGAGGGAGGTCGGGTTTACCCACACTGTCGGCTTTACCCCACCTTTCCCTATAATATATTGTCACCTTTATATTTAAATATGGTATTATTACCTGTAGCTCGGAGTGCGGGCATTGGAAACAGTAATATCCCGTGCCTTATCACTTAAGAATTCTTTTACAGCCAACTGCATAGAATGAGCTGCTCATCTGATTGACGATATGGAGAATACTTTTAGACCTTGTAAAAGGTCATCATTTTGTTGGTCTTCATAACCATCTTCATCGGTACCTCTATTTAAGTGTTCGATTGCTTTCACAACATTCTTTCCATTGTCCGAGGTAATTGTGTACAATTGTTGTTTGGATACTCCAAATTCCTCCAAAATGTGTTCAATTTCTAGGCTTAAATTCAAACGGGAATGTTTTTGGTGTAATACCAACGTTTTTATTACAATGCTGCCATCCCGATAATATTGTAAATTGACGCCCAATACACTTTTGTTATGCCTGGACGCAATATCAATTTTGAGAGAGAGCATCTTATTTTTTAAATGAGTAATAAGCCCCTTCTTTTCAATATCATATCTTTCGCCAACATAATTCATTACATTACACTGTGGTCGAGCTTGTATGGAACAGCGGCCATAAATACTTCTAGATGTGCTATCGCTATGAAATTTCCACCAAAAATTTAGAAAAATGTTTTAAGTATATCCACAAAAAATTGGCCATATTGCTCATCTATATCATATAGTATAAAAAACTTTTTTGTTTTTCAAGATATCTTAACCAATTTCACAGATAATATGTTTGGTACAGGTTTATGCATTCTTACCAAATTTGGTTAAAATCGGATATCTATATCTGTTGTATGGGAGCTAATACAACATTTTTATAAAATTATTTTTTTCCAAGACCTAACTTCAATTTTTTAATTATGGATCTCTTAATGAGAACGTTGGTGAAATATAAGTGCCCAAAAGTAAAAAAAAATTATTCACTTATATATTGTGTATTTAATTTGTCCAGCAACACAGCGTACACAGCTTAACGGGGGTAAGGTTTATTCGGTGCAAAACTGCCTACTTTTCAAAAAATGATGTGACGAAACGGCTAAAATTAGCGTATTGAATTAAATACCATATAATAACACAACATTTAAACATTATTTTTTTTTTTGTATTAAAAAATATTTACATGCTTACGAGTAATAGCGAATTCGGTGTACATCCTATCCTAACTGTCCACAAAACCATCCGATATCAAAAAAATTTATTGCATTCGTTAAAGGATAAGTGCCACGAGGTAGGTAGGTAGGTAGGTACAAGTGGTGAGGCCGCCCTGGGCGCCTCCAATTAGAGCTGAGCTCCGTTTTGATCCACACCCTCGATTTGTTGTTGTCTGCGCCATTCTTAGTACCAGCCCGTGTCATTCAGGTAAGCTAGGATGGCCGCTACTGGCTGCCTTCCAACTTCCCCTAGTGACTCGAGTTGGTATGCTCCGAAGTGTCGGGCTCTTTGATTGTTGAGTGCCGGGCAGTGGCACAGCAGATGCTCTGGTGTCTCCTGCTCGCTTGGTTCCTTGCAGCTTCTGCATTGTGGGTTGTAGGGTAGACCCATCTTACAGGCTTGCGTGCCTATTGGCCAGTGGCCGGTGATGGTTGCCGCTACCCTCCTGATGTCCTTTTTGCTCTTGGAGATCAGTTCTGCGGTTCGCTTCCTATTGAATTCTGGCCAGCATAGTTTCGATCTTCTGTGCTCTGCCTTCGTCGACCATGGTCATGAATTGAATCATATAAGCTTTTGACTTTCATAGCGAACGGTCGTGTTTTTGTTTTGCGCTCCGAACTTTTGTGTTGTTTTGCATTTAAAACCACCGGGGTCCAAATTTTAAATTGTTAAAAAAAAAAAAAAATTTTAAATTGCCGTCTG